CATTAATATCCAGTAGTGCGTACTACGGGTTTTTACTCATCAAGGCCCGAGTGTCTTTCTTTGCAAATTCGAGCGCTACGGCAATCACTTTCATCCACGTTTTTTCTTTTTTTTTTTTTTTCTTTTCTTTTTTTTTTTTTTTTGCTGTACTCTTCCACCAAAATAAATACCTATTGTACTTATTATTCGATAAACAGTCCGTTGGGCGTATTTAAATTCATGTATATAATAAATTCCCACTTTTTGTAAATGAGACGTATATATATATACACGAGCCTATAGGAATTCATGCGCCGGTAAATACCTGTGAACGAGGATCGTATTTATACAATATGCCAAAATTGCCAGACGGTGGATGAGAATGTGGCTTTCCAGCGGTGAGAGAGTCCCGCACACGATAAGCGTTGCTTTGTGCTTCGCGTGCATTTATTTTATTTCCGTTGAAACGCTAATTAGTTTGGCGAGTCCTCGGCGATGTGTCGCACACACGATTCGAGAATCAGCTCGTAAGTAATTTGTATTGGCAATTGATTGTAGTTGGTCTGTGCTCGAGAAACCGAGTTACATTGGAATTTCAACTCGACTAGGGTGCATTCGATGTTGCAGCTCCAGCGGATGTAACACAACAACGTCCGAGGGCCGGTGAAGCTGTTTTTATTAAAAATCAGTTCGAGCTTTTACGGCATTTTCCGAGAAGCTTGGCTATACACTTTGCCAGAGAGAGCACTGAGAGTTAATTATCGGAGCAAGGGCAAAGGGAAATCGCGTTTGGCACGAGGAACACGGGATTCCAGAGAAATTATTTTCGACGGCAAAGTGAGCAAATCCTTGAAATACCGTGATGTTGGAAAAAAGGGCGAAATTCATCAGTCGCAATTCAAATAACCAACGCTGGAAGGATATTTTTTGTAAAAAAAAAAACCATTTCATTTTTTTTTTTTTTTTTCGCTGGGGAGGATAATTTTTTTACTGTTGAAAAACAAAATGCTTTCCCTTTGATTGTCTATAGCTCCCCCAACTTCGGTGCGAAGAACAGAGCGCGATAATGAGAGCAAAAGTGACGGATGCTTTGGAAAAATGATGAGAGATTCCTCGGCGATCGGAGGAGGGGCCATCGAGGTGTTCGCACCCCCGTAAACAACCTCTCAGTTCCCAGCGGGAGAGACCAGTGCCTACACGCGTATACACGCCGGCCTCGAGTGCGTCTCATAAATCTCGCGCACGCAAAAGGGGGAAACTGCACCGTTCGACCGATCGCGTTTCCGAGAGGCTTCCGCGGATTCGATGAGGATGACCCCTGGTCCACGATAAATATCGCGCCGCGCTTCCTTTTCCCACCAACGGGTGTATAGATATGTAGGCGTGTATTAAGCGCGACGGCACTTTCCGGGGGTGGGAGGAGGGCTATTCATACGCAGGTACGGAGCTCGGGCTGTTGCTGCAAGCTATTGTTTCTCTTTCTACAGTCGGCCGTGACATTAATACCCACGCGGACAGCTACCTTTCTCCCCCCACGCTCTTCCGTATACGGGTATATAATTTAAGAGAAGCATTTTTCACTGGCGTTTGTCAGGTTTTTCTTCTCTTCTTTTCTTTTATCGGTCATCCTTGGAATCAATTATTTTTCATTCGACCGAGTGATCGGACGAGATACTGGGGTATGTCGTTGTCGACTATTTAACCAAGTTTTCACTTGAAAACAAATAAAAAATAATACATACGGGACTGTAGAAAAAAAGGCAAAAAAAAACAAAAAAAAAAAAACGTGTTCTAAGGTAATTTTAATCTTGAAATGTTGTTTTTTCGTTTTTGTTGTTTTTTTTCCAATCGAATAGAGCTGGCCACTTGATAATTTCGTGCTGTTGCAAATACATATTTTATACATGTAAAGTAAAACCACGCCTACGCCTTTTTAGCGCATAGACACACGAGTTAGTTACTGATATCGTGACCCGGAAATTTCAGACGTAAGATACAAGTGCCTTTGTAAAAAAAAAAAGGTAGTATTCTTGCCCCTTGCAATGGGACACATCAAACGGCAACCACAATGACGGGAGTGTAGTCGCCACCAATAGCTTACCTTTGTGACCTGTCTTCTTGGCCATTTTTTTTGTTCGCAGCCGCTTTCTGCTCTCCCAACTACCGACCTTTGGCGAAAACGATAAATGTTAAGCCAGTGCCAGTGGAAACAATACAGAAATAGAATGACCACAGCATCAGCAGCATGAGTTATAGGGTACTTGTACAAGGCACAAAAGAGAGTAGCAAAAGCTGATGGCTGTCGCGTGTGAAACACAGCTGCGAAGCAGAGAGTACTTTCTTTATGGAATTATGTGTATATATATATATATGTAGGTGGAAAACTTGATTGTGTTGCAGAAACAACTTTAATCATTGACACGGCCCATCTTTAATAAATAGTAAATAAAGTGTAAAGGTCACCGATACACCAGAGGGTAAAAAAGGTCATTCACCCGAAGGGAGCTTGCGCTCTTCTGGAAAAGTATTTTCATTTTCCAAGGCAAGCGAGGGCTTATCGTTCCTTTTTCCAAAAGCTGTCTGCGCCCACGGATGTGAAAAAAAAGCCAGCACTCCCAGAATCTTCGCCCTCTCCTCGAAAAAAAAAATAGTGGTTACGCTCAGTTGATTAATTTCTTTCCTTACCGTTGAGCTCGTCGCCCTCAAATTTCGAACTTCCTAACTGTTTCTCATTTTCTCGCAGCTAAATTTTTCAGTAAAGCTGCTTTCTGGGATGTGCAATCCTGCAGTACCACCAGTGGCAATTAATTAATACCGCTCCGCGGAGCTCTTAAATCCTGTTAGAGTATAGAAAATAAACCCGAGATGACGAGTGCGAGCAAAAATTGGTAATAGGTACACTCCGGGGCTTCTAAAAGCTCCAAAATCACAATGCACCCCCTTATACATATGCCACGGATCGCTATCGATTGGCCCACTGTTTTATCAGCAGATCAATAATACACCCATCACAAGAGAGAGAGAGTAAGAGAGGAGGGAAGGATAGGGGGAAGAATTCACGACTCGAGCCATTAGCGCGACGCAGCAGCGAGCGGCTTTGCTCAATTATGCGAGGGATGCGCATCGTCGTCGTCTGCCTTCATCCCGATGCCTTCATCTTTTTCTCGTTACGCGGGCGCGAGGGAGAATTATGTAAGCGAGTCGGGGGTGGCTTTTACATCTTTTTTTTTTTCTCTCTTTTTCTCTTCTAGCGCGTCGAGACGACGGGGGAGGAGAAAGTGTTTTTCATCCCTACGCTATTTTTTCTTTCGGAGGAATTTTGACATTCTCGAGGTCGCTCGACTGTTAGCGTCGTCGTCGTGTTTGCAGGTACCGGGATTGTCGTGAACGCGTTTACCGAAACATACGTGGGCTCGACGAGACCAACAATAATTTTTCTCATTACCCACACACACACATACAAGTGTAGCTTGGCGTGGATAATCGACGCTTGACGATGTTTTATCACTTCGATGGATGGTACATAACATTGTACCCGGCAACAGTGGCCGAACAATCGAATGTCAAGCAGCTCTTGGAAGTTGCCCGAGGGAGTACGGGGCTCGCGGGATAACCAAGTCCGAGATCAAACGCAGCGGGCGCGCCTTTCCCTGAAAAGCGGGAAAAAGAGATGATTGAGCTTTTTCATCTCAAATGAGTCTCTTTCTCTCTCTCTCTCTATCTCCGACTGTGAATCTCAGGACTTCCTCCAATGGCCGATCGTTGATTGAGCCTTTAAAACCGTGCGCTCGCTCGTTTTCTCGAAATTGTATGAATTAACATTCGTGTAACCTTTTCGAGCTTTTTGTGTATGTACTCGCGCGTAAATGTGCGACGAGATACAGGTTACAGGTTAAATAAAAAAAAAATAGCAAAGTGGGGACGTCAGAATTTTTACTGTCATTTTTATCATAGTTTCGTGATAATTTTTATTTTTCTTTCATATATGTAACATTTGTTTGAGCTTGTCAAAGCGTTAAGATACGGTACAGATGACAGTAAAAATTCTTTGTTCGTAATTTTACAGCGAAAATTCCAGCAAATTTTTTTCTCTCCCAAGTACACGAGTTTGGTTTAATTTTAAATTTTCAGTTCTACGAAGAGAAAAACAATATCCACATTTACGAACAGAGTTGAGCAAAAATGTCCGCACAATTAAAAAGATCGACCTCCTCCGCTTTTCCGGAAATTTACGGAGCAACAAATTAAAGATAGATCACTTACTGCGATTCGGCGATAAGAGACGAGGGAAAAACATTGCATCTATCTAACCCCGGTATAAATACACGAGGCCACTATTGACCTTTGAAGTCCCTCTTGCAGTCGGATTGGTGGAAGAAGAGCATCAGATATCTCTCACCTTCGGTAATTGTAGTACAGTATGGAGGCGCATGCAAGAGGATTATTGGATAGGCCGATAGAGTGCCATAAGAAATACAATTGTGCCATTTATACGTGTGCATGCGTATGTGGTAACGTGTAGGTTGTATAGTAGCGAGATCGAGGGTATACAATTGTTCATCGATTAGTGATGAAAAAGCGGAGACGGAGCAATGTATATACTTACTGTTCACGCTCTGCCAGTTCGACCACTCGGCTACTGTCTGTGTGAGTGTGCGTGATTGGATACGGTCGAGGTGTCCAGATTTATTTAGCGAGGATGGGTGTTCGAGCAACAGAGAAACAAAACACATTTAAAAGTATTTACGATGAATACGTGTTGTTGATTGGTGCAAGTCTTTACTTGTCTCGACTACAATGTTTCATTATTTCACCGAGACTGATGGATTTCATATATATATATATACTCAAAGGTGATGTAGCTTCGTTACTTACACGATGATGATGATACATGACAATAGATTTTCATTTTTTCATGTTTCATCGTACGCAGTTAGCGGCTTCAAGATGCATCTTTTCAATCAGTATTGTATATTTTTGATAAAAAGATGAGTATTTTTTAGTTAAAAGCGTCAACTTACATTTCAGTTTGCTGTGCTTGCGCCGGCACATGAGGAAAATAATGACGCAGACAACGATGATAATAAGTATGACGATGACCGTCGTGGCGATCGCGATGACCAGCATGTCACCATCCAATCTCATCCACCAGGGAACGCTAGCTAGAATATTAATTGACCAAAACAGAGTTTTTTAAGATCTTTTTTTTCTTTACCATTTGTTTCGCGAGTTAGTAAATACAAACATTCTCTTTTTTATTACTGCAGTTACTGGTGCTGACAAAAATTAAACCGTATGAGTTTTATCAAATATTGAATAATAAGAAAAAAAAAAAAAAAAAAAAATACTGGTCTCGTGATCGTAAAAACTTACTCATTACACTCGATTTTTCATCTGATATATTACAACTCTAAAGCAAATATTTATCCGCGAGATACTTTGACAGTCTCGTACGGTACGAGTCTCTTGCAAAGAGAAATATTATTTTTGTGACTCTCAGACTTTTTCACCATAATTTATTACTTCTACTATACTTTCTATTTTCTCCCGTTTCCCTTATTTCTTTCATATTTCTAAATTATCTTTGAATAAGGTTGCGAGCCCCTTTTTTTCACGATCTACTAACTAGTCGAAAACTAAATTTAAAAAATGCCAGCAAAATAAAATACATTTCTTTCGAGCGAACGAGCGATTAATTTTTTTTTTTTTTTTCGTGCTCGTTACATGCAACTATTTTTAGTATTCTGTAGCCGTGTAGCATGCATTAAAAATTATTTACATATCCATCGCATTGTGGCATTATTGGTAAACAATATTAAATTATTATTATTATTTATTTTTTTAAGAATGTTAAAGAATCACCTTACACTCAGCTTGAAATATGTGAGGTTATTCAAGTAAGATAATACTTTAAGACGTTAAAATACGTGTATCAACATAAACCTTATAGTATGTTTGACAAACATTTATATGATATTCAAGTACTAACGATACATCCATCTAAATAGACGAAAATGTTAAAAGTATCAACTTACTACTATCTAGTCCTTGGTGCGCTACAGAAACAAAATTGATGGGCGAAAGTTAGAAGAAAAAAAATAAAAGAATAACAAAAAACCTTGTAATATTACAATATTGAAACAAAATAGGTTTTGCTCGCTTACTTTCTCATTGCTGCGTAGAAACATAAAATTTGTTTGAAAAAGAAAAAAAGTGTGACAATTTTTTCTCGTATGATTTCGCTAATGGAAATAATTATGAATTTGAAATCATTATGAAACGGCCGTTTATAAATAGAAGCATAAATAAGCAAAAAGCGCAGGAGCATGCGAGCTCGAGTGTACGTGTTAAATCCAGGTTTTCGCAGTCACTCATTAGTACGAAGTGGGTGAGCAGTGTCGAGCGAGAGAGGCCGTGGATAATTTGCGATTTGTTGAAGAGCGCGTGAAACGCCATCAAGACGATATCTTGGATATATGGCACACGAGATTTTTCGCCCCACTTCAAAATTCACGCGCCGCAAAGTTTTTAATTTCACTTCGTTATTTCGCGATTAAAATTTTTCACCCGCGCCCTCGATGAAAAAAAAAAAAAAAAGGAAGTTTAGCGAGAGCCGAGCACTTGGTTTTTAATAGCTCTCAACACACCCGCGCGGCACGGAAAATTCCGACAAAAAAAAAAAAAAAAACATTCATGAGAATCCGGTAACTCAGCTCTCAAGGAGCTCCTTCCACCTATACATTCGCACGTAATTCTGCAGCTGTGTAAATTAAATGCGGCAAACCGAAAATACATGTACACACGTATGGGTGACAAAAAGCGTATTTCTTTGCTGTACACTGCTTTACACAGCTATGAGCAACGAGTTCTCGTATTTAAATGGCAATAACTATGCTAATGATTGGCCAGTAGTGCCATTAATTTAATAAACGTTGCTCGTCGTACTCATCGCACAAGTATATATCCATAATTACGTGTCATAATAGGTATACTAACCAAGAACGTGTCGCTCGCAAGGACTGGACTGGCCGATGCTGTTGTTGGCGACGCAGACGTAGGTCCTCGGATTGGAGACGGAGTCGTCGAGGGGCAGGTAATTTCTGCCGGCGAGCGTCATCGGGACCTGTTCGATCGTGTCGTTGTCGCTCTTGAGGGACCATTTGAAACTGTAATCCGTAGGGTTGCCCTCAGCGCTGCACACCACGTAATCCTTTCCGTCCATTACCTCCTTATCGACTTGGCACTCGGGCTTGTCTGCGGGACGACGATTTTTACCGTCACATGCGTACACAAGCTGAGCACGATCGCTCTATCTTACTCGCTCATCACTCTCGTCTACTATACGCCCTATAGGCGTGCTATACTCTCCGACTATCGCGTCCTTTTCGACTCTTTCTTTCTGTAGGTACTTTTGCGAAGCCCGGGCACACTAGTTACGCTATCTCCACTCTTTTGCCTTCCACATTTCCATATGGGCTTTTTTATTCACACCCACTCGGCAGAGTTTAAAAAACGTCCCCGCGGATTCCACGACCTCGTTGGGCAGCCGCGATAAACCATAAGTCGTTTCGAAGGACTACGGGATTTACATTTTTAATCGAGGGTGTCGAGGTCCAGGTCGTGATAAAAGGGTGTAGAGATTTTTTTTTTTTTTTTTCTTTTTTTTCCCCAATTTTTACGCGTGTACGCTTTGCTCGTTTATTTTTTCGTAAATTAAAAAAGGGAGAGAGAGAGGGTGGCTCACCTTTGAGCGGGTTTTTCATCATTTATCGTTGCATCGGGGAGCGAGTTGCAGATTTTTAATTAATATCTCTGGTTTCGGCGTTGAATCGTGATAAAACGAAAAAATAAACTCGCGAACGACCGATCGAGCGAAAATCATTATTTTTGTTTTTGGGCCATTGAGCTTTGCTCGAATCAAACGAGTTTTCCACGAGTATTTATTTATAAAAGTACAAACACGAGCAAAGTGATTCATTGGGTCTGATTTCCGTGAAAATAAAAATGAAAATGGAAAACAAAACAATCAATTTAAGAATAAACTAGCTCGGCATAAAAATGTGCGGTATAATAATTATGGTAGATGTTGGTTTAAATTAATTATTATAATTGTTATGAGCAACTGACACTGCACGTTGATGTAGGTGGATATGGTGGCGCTGCCGATTTTGTTGCTGGCTTGGCAGACGTAGGTGCCGCGGCTGGCGCGCGGAAAGGGCGTCTTGAAGTGGAGCACCGGACCCTCGGATATGATCTCGGACTTGCCTTCGCGGTACCAACGGTACTGAGGATCCGGTCGGGCGTTGGCGCTGCACTGGATTGGCTCCGGTATGTTGTCCACGACGACGTTTACTTTGCTCCTCGAAATCGTGAGGCCCTCGGGCGGGACTGCGGAAAGTGCGAAACAACCCCAACGTTAGCACTACCGCACAAGCTTATACATTACATACCGATGGTTAATAATCCCTACACTTGAGTATCCCGTTTTATGAAAAAGCTAAACAAATTTACCAAGAAGATAAATATTAGATTTACGAATACAAACGACGCGTTTATTTACTACAACGGGAGTAAATCGTCTTAATTTGATTTGAGGTTTTAACACACACGAGAAATATATCCTTATCGAAGATGATTATTGTGAATAAGCAAACTCGAGGTGCTTTTAACCAAGTTATCGACGTTTTATTCTTATTGCGCGTATGTATACTTTGGGCACGAATGTGACCCCACGCATTATAATCATGATGATTGTTCGGTATAAGGTAACAATACAATAATTATATTCTCTTACAGTAGACCTCGATCTTCACGGTACTGGAGACGCCGGGCCCGATGCCGTTGGAGGTGCTCATGCAGGTAAAGGTGCTGTCGTTGTCGATTATACGGTCGAGCTGTCCCGAGGGCCAAGCCGTGAGGTTCCAGATGAGGGACGAGCTGATGCTCTCAAAGTCATCGGTGCTGCGATTCGGCGCCAGTCGGCCGTTCTCCACGTAGTACTTGCGGGTCCGGCCGAAATCGATGGACCGGTTGTTCTTCAGCCACACTATATCGCACAGCGGCGAGCACTCGATGTGGCACTCGAGGCTCACGTTTGTCGCGTTGTACACAAAGCCCACCAGTTGGGGCAGCTTTTTTATAAAGGCCGGTGGGGCTACGCGCGGAAGGACAAAAAAAATTCCCATTTACCTTTCCTTGCACTCTCCAGACGAGACCCAGTGAGGGAAAAAAAAATTGCTCATCCTTATTTTTGATTTGATTTTTGACCATTAATTGGGTGTTACAAATTACCAGAAATGTCAATAAAGGTGGAGGCGGGATCGCCGTCACCGGCGTCGTTGTGGGCCATGCAGGTGTAGTTGTCGCGGTACTCCAGTCTGACCTTGTCCGCGCGAAAGACGGACTCCCGCTCCTCGGAAAGGCGCATGAGGCCTCGGTACCACTTGAAGCTCGTCGCCGCGGGACGGCCCGGGTCGTCGACCGAACACGTTATGTTGAGCGGCTCCTTCTTCACCACCTTCTTCGGCTCGTACGATATCGATGCGGGTCCCGGTTTATCTGTACAGTGGGTGGGAAAAAGAAAAATTTACGTGAAACTTTACCCTTTGGCTCCAATCGAAGAAAATTTTTCGGATTAGTGGCTTTTGCTCAACGTTTTCTTGGAATGTTTGATAAACAACTTACAATTGGATGCCGAAAAAGGATTTCTCTTCAAAAACCGTATTTTTTTTTATTACATTTTGTTACTCAGTTAAAATGAAGTTAATCAATTTTTTTTTTTTTTTTTTAGCCACTTTTATACCAAGATACGTAAAATTCTATTTCGAAAACAACTTTTGTAAATGGCGCTTTGTAAAAGTTACAGCGGAAAAAAGTTTTTTTTTGTTGGAACGTGGTAGTAAAAGGGCTTTTCTTTATAAAAAAAAAGAGAAAAAACCAACAAACAAACAAAAACTCTTTGAATGCAAAACCATAAGTCTCTGGTATATGTTTGAATCGTTTTATACAAAATTATCCAACTGAAAGCCAATTAGAGCTGAAAACTGAACAAAATTGTTTGCCACTGCCACAAACATGTGTAAGAGCTCTTGTATTTGCATACATTGAATTTTTCGCTCCAATGAAAAACAAACTGATGCTGGCATATTTAAATTACAATTCTTAGTACAACTGAGCATCGGCTGCCATTTCCAGAAATAACAGTTATAAACTTCCAAAATCGTGCGCTCGGTAACGCCGTCGGTATAATTTTGAAAACAAGAAACACAACACCCGTCACGAATAAACGAGCGAATCGACGTGAAAAATTGTTCCTCGTTATTTTTTCACCACCCCCCACACCACCCCAATCGACCAATGTTCAATGTTTCCCGAGCGCCCGAAACTCTAAATCCGTTTTTGCACCACGTGCGCATCGATTCTCTCGCGTCATACGGTAAAAATAACAAAGCGAAGCTGCATTCGCGATACGGCTGTCAAAAAAATTCCCCCTGATTCGCCGCGTCGGCGAAAAACATCATTTCGCTCGTTCATCTTCTCTGACAAGTTGATTTTGATCCATCGTCACAAATATTACACTAGCGAACGCACGAGCGGAAAAAAAGGTGAAAATTTCAATACATCGCCAGCACCGACGAGTAGTTGCGAAAAATTTGCCACGCGGAGCAGAGACGCAATCGCAAGAGCAGGGGAATCAGGAAGAGGGGACTGGTGTACTCACAGTAGACGACGACGGGGGTATTGGGGGATATCGGTCCCCAGCCTGCCTCGTTCCTGCCCTCGCACGAGTAGTTGCCGTGGAAGGACCTGCCGACAGATTCTAGGAGCAGTTTGCTCGGGTCTATGTCGCAGAAAACCCCAGCTGAGACGTTGCGCGAGCAGTCGGGTAGCTCCTTGAGCAGGTCGCCGTCCAGGTACCAGCGCACCGCGCTCAGGTAGCTCGGGTTGCCCGATAGTACGTCACAGCTCAGCGAAACGTTCAGCCGGGCGGTCTCGATTAGCGGCGCGTCTGGCTCCATCGTCACTTCCACCACCGGCCGGTCTGAAAGGTAAAACTTTGACTCACGATGTGGTTGCCATGTTTTCTTTTTCTTTTTTGTTTTCGAGCTATTGACCATTGGAATGTCCATTCAAGCAAGGATCCATGCTCGGTTAACGAGCACAGTTGTATTGAAGAAGAAAGAAAAAGGTAGATTTTTTTCTTTCCAGCCATGTTTTTCAATCGCCCGAAATCTCCTGGATATACGTACAGTGGAAAATGGGAAACAAACAAACACAAATCGAGAGATCTCTTCGTAAAATCGTAACGAAGCGTTTCACGTGTTGCATCGGTTCTACATGAAATAACAGAGGACCTCGCAAAAGCTCAACAAAATTTTGTCGTGATAAATTTGTGATTATTTAACGTCGTCACTTCTGGATCAACGATTTGTGAAAAAAAAAAAAAAAAAAAAATTATTGGTGGAATAATCTTTTGTAACTGTATGTACGTACACAAAACAGTGACGTCAATGGGCTCGCTCGACTTTGAGCTACCAAAGTCGTTCTCCAGGATGCACGCGTAGCTCCCGATGTCGCTGGCGGAGGCGTTCTTCACCAAAAGGGAGGTCAGCTCGCTCGTGCCGCCCTCGTAGTGCTCCTCGTTTAGGGTCAGATTTTTGCCATCTCGTTGCCTGCGAAAGCACGAAAAAGCACGTATAGAATCATCAGTTTTGGATAATATCAGCTTTTTCTTGGTCTCTAAGATGTGCACTTGCGACGTCGATTCGTCCCAGTGGTCTCAAGGCGTTTTCACAAAGGTAAATTTGTCACTTTTTTATATTAACTTTTGAGACTTTTTTTTTTGAAAATAAGCACTCACATTGCTAGGGACGAACTATAATACACATATTTATTGCACTTCATGGAAAATAAACATTTTAGAGACAATATTCTGGTATCAGGTACCATCGTATCGAAAAATGATAAAATGTATATGATCGAAAGACACGGTGGACGACAACAGCTCGTCTGACCTAACGTTGATATTACTACTGAAATATAAATTCAATTGAATCTTTTAAGTAATAATCTCAATATACTCGTATACGATAAACGAGTCGTATGTAGGACGGGTTCTATATTACTTGAATCGACCAACCGAATAAAAATAAAAAGCTGTATGTGTATGTGAAATGGTACAACACCAGTAGGCTTACCATAGTACATTGACGAGGCTGGCCGGATTGGCTTCGTAGTCGCAGAAGAGCTGGAAATCATCAGTCTCGTTGACAGTCACGTTCTCGGGGCTCATCCGTATTATTGGGGGATCTGCGGTGACACAATTTGACAATTAACAATATACTACACGCAACACGCGTATCGGATTTCGCAGCTCTAACAGTCACGGGGAAAGAGACGCCTTATCCGAGGCTGTACTTGTTCCGTCCTTCCTCGGAGTCTTTGGGGGAGGGCATGGCGTAAAATAATGTAATTTTGATGGAGCGTCGACGTCGGTAAGAGCTTACGTACATGTATAAAAAGCTAGTTAGCGAGATGTGCCCCCGAGAAAGGGGAAAAGGTAGAAGAAGCCGGGGAGGAAAAAAAAAGAAGCTGTTTCCAGGGCTAAAAGGGGGGGGGGGAGAGCCCCTAGGTATACATGGGAGGAAAAGACAAGGCAGAACGTGACATGAGTCGAGAGAGGAGGAATTTGCATGGCACACGGCAGTAAAGAGCCACCTCTCTGCGTCTGCTTCTCGTGTACGCGCGGGTATAATGTATTCAAGCTACGCGAGTGCAAGTGTATGCGTACACGCGCGAGGGACGGGGAGAGGCAGCCGTAGCTCTACATTTTTTAACCTGTACTTTCCTCCGAGAGAAGGCTATGTATATACAGTTCCCTCATCTTTTTTTCTCATCGGTGGATAATAATGTATTGGATGCCTATCGCACGATTTTGATCGACAGACGGCCAGGATGTACGTTACGACGCGCTTTCACGGTACATGCTAATACGTACAAGAGTTGTAGGGAATTTCCGATGCGAAGCTTTCGCTGGGGAAAAAGTTGGACTCAACGTTGCGAGGTCTCCTTTCAAAAGAAAATTTCACGCGTTCCACAGAGATGGGGCTTACAATGCAGGTGCAGGCATTTACTTGCCACGGTGTTTCATGCTGGTAGAAAAAAAGCATAAAGTGTAGGCACAAGGTTGAACAATTACCAATTAGCTTGTTCACGAGAGAGAGAGGGGGGGGGGCTTGAAATAAGTATATATTTTATGAGATTGATCGTAGTTAAAAACAAGGGATACGCGAATTGTACAGTAGTCCATACACAGGGAGATAAAGATACAATGAAGGGAATAAGAAAGCCATTCGAAATGACTAATGAAAATTAAAGGAGGGATGCGGTCAGAGGCGTAGGAGAATGCACTTTAAAAAGGGACAAAAAGACTCATAAGGGAGAAAAAGAGCCAGTGAGCGCAGAATAATTACGGGGGGGAAGAGAAGAGAAGAAAAAGAAGGAAAAAAAAATATATCTAGATAGGTTGTAACCTGTATGCGGGCGTACTCACACATAACTTCCATGATGACAGTCTCCCTCATGGGTTTGCTGCCCTCCTTGAGCATGACCGAGTTCACGGCTGCGCAGCTGAACTTGCGCCCATTGTCGTGCTCCGTAGTCGTGAAGGCTATGTAGCTGTTCGTCTGCGTCGTACCATCGGCCTGCGGGCACACAGTGAACGTGTATACAGGTATATGAGGAAATCCAATCCAAATCGACCATTTTACGTCACAAAAAAAAATTAAAATTTTTTTTGAGGCACACCTTTGCAATAAATTTTTTCTTGTTCTATGTACCCTCAGAAATAAGGGAAAAATAGTGTGCAAGAAATTCAGGCTTTGTGACATTGTTTTTCACGACTCTGAAGATTTTAATCATTGATTTTCGAAAAGAGTGCATGATTCCCCGGGACACAGGTACTCTAGAGTACTGTATAGACTACTTGACATGGGCTAATGGGGACTTAGATGAATATCTAAGGTAAATCGGGGGTGCTGAACACAATGAACATGGTTACAAATCGATATCTCGATTACTTTTCGAGATATCGATATAACGAGCAACATAATCTAAAAATTACGGGGCGAAAAAAAATTTTTTTTTTTTTTGAGGCACACCTTTGAACCAAATTTTTTCTTGCTGTATATACCTCCAGAAACAAGGAAAAAATTGTGTACAAGTACTTTGGGCTTTGTGACACAGTGTTTTTTATGGCTCCGAAGGGTATAATACTTGATATTTCAAAAATACTAAGTGAACATGATACGTGCGACTTGTACTGCGTTTTTAAAGCAGCTTGTCGTTTTTATACTATACCACGATAAGTTTCTTTTTTTGAGGAACCTGACTAGATTAAACAGGACTTAATTAACAAAAAGACGCTTGAATTTATCAAGTTTTCGGTTAAAACATAAAAAAAAAAAAATTACCAATTTTTTCAAGTTTGAATAAATATTACCATATAGTTTTAGATTAATTATTTATTATCTTATAATAACTCACATAACTTAACAGTAAGTATTGAAGTTATAATAAATTACTAGGGATTATAAATTGTGCATGAATTAGACATAGCAGTTATTTCATTATAATCTCGCTCACTTATTTTAAATATATTTTTTTTTGATATACGAATCGGCTCATCAATTTTGCACAGTACTTGTGTTGGAAATACAGTGTAAACGTCATTATTCTTTGGCCAACGAAAATTTTTTTTTGTTCTCTCTAAAAATCTAACAATTAATGCATTTTTATTAATTTTTTCAAGTTGACCAGGGTACCACTGGTCGTATATTACTACTACCCACTCTCCAACTTTGAAATTTTTTGTTGATTGAAACGGTGAAATATTCTTACTTTTAGCATCATTATTTACAATTTCTTTCGCATCATATGTAACTACACTATCAATCTTATAATGTTCGCAACCAGTATCTATATTACAATGAGAGCACGATAAATAATTGAATGACAAACTTTTACTGTTAGACTTGGACCACATAACTTGATGAACTTTTGAAGTTGCTGGAACTGGCTTTAAATCTTCGGGAACAAGACTATCAATCATTTTAATTTTTTCTTCATCGATACAAAATGAATTTATTTTGCTGCTAGAATTATTTATGCATTGTACCATATCATTTGCACATAAAATATCATGGCCAAAAGTAACATGTCTATCACACATTTCTTTAACAGTACCTCCAATCGCATCAGCTATACTTTTGCCATGACCAGCAGCTGTAAAATTCCATGTAGCGCTTGTTAGATTTAGTTTATTACAGAAAAAATGCAGTAGATAGAAATTAATTTTATTTTTGTACTGTGTCGATGGTCCATCGGATTGAAAATGGTATAGTATAAAAACGACAAGCTGCTTTAAAAACGCAGTACAAGTCGCACGTATCATGTTCACTTAGTATTTTTGAAATATCAAGTATTATACCCTTCGGAGCCATAAAAAACACTGTGTCACAAAGCCCAAAGTACTTGTACACAATTTTTTCCTTGTTTCTGGAGGTATATACAGCAAGAAAAAATTTGGTTCAAAGGTGTGCCTCAAAAAAAAAAAAAATTTTTTTTCGCCCCGTAATTTTTAGATTATGTTGCTCGTTATATCGATATCTCGAAAAGTAATCGAGATATCGATTTGTAACCATGTTCATTGTGTTCAGCACCCCCGATTTACCTTAGATATACATCTAAGTCCCCATTAGCCCATGTCAAGTAGTCTATACAGTACGCGAGAGTACCTGTGTCCCGGGGAATCATGCACTCTTTTCGAAAATCAATGATTAAAATCTTCAGAGTCGTGAAAAACAATGTCACAAAGCCTGAATTTCTTGCACACTATTTTTCCCTTATTTCTGAGGGTACATAGAACAAGAAAAAATTTATTGCAAAGGTGTGCCTCAAAAAAAATTTTAATTTTTTTTTGTGACGTAAAATGGTCGATTTGGATTGGATTTCCTCATATGTGTATATTTCGTGCCCTCGTGCAAGTGAGATGGAACGAGAGGGAGAAAGACAAGGAGGCCCCGCGTGATTCTTTCGCGTCAGCGGATCAACGATGACCCGTTAACCGAAGCGCCCGAGGGGGCTCGATAAATTAACCCGATTTTTTCCTTCCCTTTCTCTATGGGCGCCCCGACGTAATTGCTCTCCTTAACCGCTCAACCGTTGTGCTTCCCCACCTTACATTCTCGACTCGCACTCGATTTTTTCTGCGATATCATTTCATTATGCCGCTATACTTAACCCACGAGGGTGATTATCTTTTTTTCTCCCCCCCCCCTTTTTTTTATGTATAACGTTACATTCGGGCTATTACATTGTGACAAACGTTACGTCATTTCGTCGCGAACGTAACAGAGACTTGTACCAGCGAGCTGCGCTGGATGATTTATTCTAATTGCGATAAAAAAAAAAGTCACTGGACACCGTACGTGTAATAGTACCAAATTATCATTTTCAGCACCGCAATTTCAATAATGTTGTTTTAAGTACTCGACGCGCATACCTATTGTCGAACAGAAACCAACCAATCGTCGGAGGAAATCCGCGCGGTCCCCGACTGAGCACTGGTGTGAAAAAAAAAAAAAGAAAAAAAAAGCCCTCACCTAAACACGGGCGGGACACAAGAGAAACGCCATAGCTTTCAAGCTCAAGTACATAATGGACAACAAGGCGCTCCGTAAAGGGGTTTGCCGCGCCAGATCTTTCAAAAGCTGAAACGAATGATCAAGATGAGTGCTGGCGCTCTCTCTCGCCACTGTACAAGATAGGCACACGTGTCAATGTATACCCGTGCACGAGGTGTTCCAATATAACCGCACGAAACTCGCGCAAAAATAAAACCAAAGGGAGAGAGAGGACGCACGGCCCCTTTCATTACTCTTATCTCCGCGGCACTGGTGCGTGTAAGTATACGCGCGTCTGAGTAATGTTATACGCTGCAGTCCCCAAAGATGATTTCCCTTCCTTTTTATCCCCCTTGGGCCGGCTATCAGCGTACCAAGTGCACACAGACGTGAATATTATGCGCCCCGGCCACCGCGCTGAGGGACGGCGTTACCATTACGACGAAAGATCGCGTCCTCCTTATCTTTAACGCCAGCTCGTTTGAAGCCTGATTGCACGAGGTTTTCAAAGCTTTCGCGGTACAAGCAGAAAGAGAAAGAAATCACGGCACCAAGGGACATCTGCTCTCGACTTTTAATGTACTCGCTGGCAGAATCATCTCGAATTTTCGGAGACGAGGACGCGATGTACCTATACTCCACACGTTGAAGTGACAGAGGAAAAAACAAAAAAAAAAAAATAGGGAGTGGGTAAGTGAGTTGCCAACGTGTAAGTATAATATACGGATAGAGATGCAAGAGTACGCTTGATGGATGGCTTCTGCTGTTTGATGAATCTTTCATGCGCGCCCTCGACGAGCTGGACCGACACCTACGCGTGCGTTTGGGAGTAGGTCGGATGGCACATTTTTTTTTTTTTTTTTTTTCATCACGTAAAAAAGTGGTATCTTTACCGTGTACGTATGAGGGTGGGATTTCGCGAAAAATCATTTCGCGCATCAGTCATTTTGACAGCTCGGATATTCAAAGTTAAAATTGAGGGAGGATTAGTCGGGTGCACGTGTGTATTTTATGATGAATCGAGTGAAATCGTGCTCACCAGGAAAAGTTAATTGGATGGGCTTTTAATCGAATGGACGAAGAATTTAGAAAAAAAAATTTACCTCCATGCGGTCTTTTTGACACATGTTTTCAAACAACCGACCAACTCACCAAATGAGAAGAAGCAAAAGTAACCCATCCGTTTCAAAGACAGTCCAAAAAATAGATAGTCCTACACTAGAGTGACCGCGATCAGCTAAATTGCCATAAGTTTATAAGCCCCGTGCGACGCATGGTTTTTTTATTCATATGTAACTATTGTGCGAACAAGTATTTATCAAGGGAAAAAAAAAAAAAAAAAAAAAAAAGAAATAAAAGTAGAGAAAGAGAAAGATTGGAGTCCAAGTAATGTACAAAAGGAAACTTTGTAGCAAATTTGCGCTGACTCTCAAAGAGACGGCGGAAAGTAGGTACCTACGTATATATACACAAGTCGACCGGAGTTCCATCAACTTTCACGAAATCCGAAACGAAAGCTGCTCTCTTATTTCGCAAGCAAGCGATACTACACCGACTGTAGGATTTTGTGTATCCCCCCTCCCCCCGTAGCAGCCATTGTTTGCATTCCATAGTTACTCGGACCAAACGAAAGAACGGGAAAACAAGAAAAAACCGACACATCGGATCTGCAAAATTTTTCCAACGCAGCACCGTACGAGCAAAATACGCTGGTGAAAAAAAAAAAAAAAAAAAAGAGCCGGCTGGCACACGCGCACACAAAAACCTGGTCCACAGGAGTTGGCTCCCTCGAGTTGTATTATATATCAAGACGCTCGGCAAACAGAGCTAATTACGCCGGAATAAATACCCACCTGCCAGCTGTGAATCCGTAATTACCGGAGCACACGCTCTCGCGGCCGCGACGAGAAGCTCTCACGTGTGGGTGCTCCCTTCATACATAACGCGCGCTAACCAACGGACCACGGGAATTACGGCTTGCTCTCTCTTGCTTTCTCCCCTGATGCGTGTAGTCTGGCTGGATTAGTATCGAAGGTTCGTGTGGTCTTGGTGCGAGTTGTATCAATGTGTGTGATGGTGTTGAAAAAAATTTTTTTTTTTTTTGCCCAACGGAGCTTCAAGGATTCCGGTTGATGGAAACCGACTCATTTTTCGGTATGTTGCGAGCTTGTTTGTTTTTGTAATTTTACAATGACTCCCGCGTTTGGCGACGGGAGGATTACGCAGCTAAAAGATTTTATCCAGTCTCCATACGTCGGCTTCGAATCGAGCGAGGAAGCCTCACTTAGTATAAGAATTTATTTTTTAAATGAGTACACCAACTACTCGCTCGTGTTTGCGGCCGAGTTCACCTATGTACATCCGGTGTGCATGATGTACAGAATACAGCTTGGCTCGAACATCATTTTTTTCAGCAAATGAGTCGTGCTTTTTTTTTTTTTTTTTTTTTTTGCTCGCGCCGTCCCCCTCTTTTTTTGTTCGGCGCGGCAATCGATTTTTTTCCCTGCAGCCGTAGTAATCCCCAAAAATGAAAAAAAAAAAAAAAATTCATACAAACGCGGTGGAATGGTGCGTAAGCTCCAGAATAAACCAACGCTTCGCGAGAAAAGCTGCTTTGTTTCATACACGTCACGATCGTTACAATCGGATTTTTTGTTTTATTTTACTTTATTTTATTTTATTTTTTTTTGAACGCAAAAATGATCGATAAGTTGACAAAAAAATGGATGATAACAAGTGACTGAGTTTACGAAAAAAAGTATCATCGTTACCGCGTGCATACAACACTTTGTATGAAAAAGTTGTAATTCTCAAGTTTAACCAATATCGTCTTTGGTAGTCTCTCTCACTGATATTGCTCACATGCAGGATGTATTATACAGTACTGCGAATGGTATTTTAAATTAGCCACAAGAGCCGTCAATTTTCATGAATAAAAGTTAAACGACTGCTACAGGAAAAAGTGATTATTACACTGTAACAAAACGCGTCGCAGTCTGGGGCCAAAGAAGCAGGTACAAGCGTTAAAAAACACTTTGATGTGATTTTACGCTGCAAAACGATTAATCGCACCATTAAAACGTTCAAGTAGTAAACCTTGCGGCGAATCATTAGGTCAGGGGGTGCGCGTAAAGTTGTCGGCGTAGATATGCAAACTCACGTTATCGGTGAGCTTCGTCTCCTGCATTTCCAGCCGGCTGCTGTTTTTGTCGAGGATCTCGGTGCCGTTGTACCAAGTGACGTTGGCCGGCGGCCGGGCGCCCTGCACCTCGCACTGAAGCAACACCTTCGAGCCGTTGATCACGTGGCCGACCACTCCCTTTATGTCCATCTTCATCGGCCGCACTGTACAAACAGACGAACGTTATCATTTTACTTTTACATATCGCCCGTGATTTTTTTCGATTAGGGGAGAAGTTACCCCGAGTGCCACTCGCGTTGTTGGTCAATCGTATACTTGCAAATGTACGAATCACAACGCACAAACATACATAATCGAGGCGTCTACACATTACGCGTATGGGATTGTTTTTTCAGTTTTAATACACCAAATTGTACGGTGAAACATATTTTTTCTGCAACAATGCATTGACGTGGTTAAGAAAAACTCGGAAAAATCAAGCTCGAGGGTCTAACAAGAACGAGACCGAAATTGCTGAAAAATGTCACGCACGTGGAAGAACGAGCTGCGGATGGACTGTAGTAGGTGTGCAAAAGAAGAAGAAAAAAAAAAAAAATAGCTGAATGGGAAAGTCGAAGCACGAAGTGGGCGAACAACGACAAGGAGAAAAGGGAGAAAATAAAAAAGAAAATAACTCGATAAGAGGAGAGTAAAACACTCGGGGTGGCGTATATATATATATATATGTATAAATACGTACTCATAGGTGTGCACACAGTACAGTCGAGGAATACCGAGGTGCGGAGGATCGAATTAAAAGAGGGTCGCTCGGGGTGAACGATAGCACAATGGGTATACGTGCCAGTTGCTGCAGAGTATATGTGTACAAAGATCGAGAGGTTGTACCGCGCGGCTTGGCTGCAGACGTGGACACACGCGTTGTCCAACCCCCCCCCCCCCCCCCCAGCTAAAGGATCGGCCGAACGTGAGAGCTGTACTATATACATATATAGCTGTACACACGCGAAGGATGGGAGAAGAAAAAGCAGCGTAGACGGTCCGTGGCAGTAGTCCACTCGTCGCTGTCGACGAGCTTTAAAGCGACAGCCCATTCTTTCGGTGGAGAGATAACGAGAGTGTCGGGTTGGGTCTGGAAAAAGAAAGTGGGCGAAAAAAAGGACAGACTAGCCGAGCTCCTGCAGAAGGGGAAGTAAATAGAAGAAGAGTAGTTGGAGGAAGAACGGGGTTGGGGGAGGGGGAGGCAAACGAAACATAAACCACCTGCAGATAAGGGAATGAACGATGGGATAGAGAGAGAGAGAGAGAGAGGTGAATTTAAATGAATTGATTTATTTGGGTGTCGGAGTGGTGGTGCTGTAGGTCGTGAAAAAACGATGCTCAACGAGAAACGGATCACGAGCTAGCTCGAACAGGGCGATAATGAAAGGATGGCATTTGTCACGCTACCTCGATAATGGACGTAGATGTAATGCTACCAATCGAGAGTACGAGCGCGAGAAAAAAAAGAGAATTTATTTGCTGCACGTGGTTGTGGATCATTGTGTTGATCTTTTTTTTTCTTTTATTTTTTTCTTAATTCGGCTCGTTTAAGCGCGCTTAAGCGTCGTAACCACGAATGACTAAGACAATCATAACCCTCGGAAGTCATTGATCCATAGCAATGAAAACTATTTTCATTTGTAACTCGACTACTGGAGACAAACCAAAAAATTTATATAAAAAAGAATAAAATACTCTTGTTTTTTAATTAATTCACTCATGAGATTTTACAGAGCACTACAATAAGGACGGTGTTATTCTCTCTTTTGTAATAGCGATGAAAAAAAAAAAGAAATCACAGCAGCAATAAAGAGAGATAAGAAGAAAGAGACAGGAGAATGTCATTTCCGAGGGAAAAGAGAAACTCACTCTTTCGACGGCGAGTTCAAATATAAATTTATATACTTAACTGAGGCTATGAAGAAAAAAAAAAAAAAAAAAAAATGGAAGATCCTCACGACATGGTGGGGGCTGAAGCAAAAGAAACAATAGACGAAAACAGCGAGAGTCCTCTTTCTCTCGCGTGCCTTCAACCCTACACATAGTGGGAGGGGGGGTGGCGCTATTTATCCAAAAGATAATATTGGCAATGGTATACTTGTGTCGGCTCGTGTGTACTTTAATCTATACGGAGGTTTTGGTATGTTTAAAAAAACTCTGGCGCAGCATTTTAATAGGATCCATACGTATAATCTTGTTCGAGCGAAAAACCGGTGAACAGGACCTCCTCCTCCTCCCACGGTAGTCACGCGTGCTCGATAAATTTATTGATCGTAGTACCTACCCCTCACAAATTTCACCCGAAAAGCCGCAAAAAAAAAAAAAAAATAAAATAAAATAAAAATCCGTACCTAACGAGGGCTTTGCTACTCGGTCCATTAATTATATGGAATTAAGAGCACGTGAAAGGGGGTGGGGATATCTCACGTTCACCTCGTCACTCGGTCCGTTGTTGTCGTGTGTTTCTTTGTCCCACGTTCACTTAGGAAAAAAGCCTCCAAAGTTATGAGCATACATACATAAAATATGATGATTTAACGTGCCCGCCACAGTTTTATGCAGTACAGGTTAACGCCGTAGCTCGCGAGATGTAATCCCTATTGTGCATTTCTTTTTCCCTTTCCCTTTTCTTTTCGCGATGTCGTTGTCGCGCAATAATTCACGCGATAATCCACCCGCGACCGTAATAATTCACCGTATACGGTTGGAAGAGAAAGGGCTTCCGCCGATAAGTGTGCCACTGCAGTTGAGCTTCTGTATACATGTATATTATACTTAGTACTTGCAGCTTATCGGAGGAGAGATACAACACGCGGGGATGATGTTGCACCATTTGGCTGTTAATAATAAATATACGTTCCTTGGTCCAAGGTATATCGGCGACTCGGTTGAGGAAAGAGCAAACTCAAAATTGGCTTTCGTAAGGCGTTCAATCTCAATCTGAGTTGGCGCTTTCTTGAATGCAATTTACATACCTCATTGGAGCGTGGTTACCGAGAGAGACTCGTTCTGGTAAGCGAAATAAATTATCATCGGATAATAATTGAAAAAAGAAAAAACCACGTTACATTGGATTGAAGGAAATAAGGGGTGGTGGTAGGAGGGGGGGGGGGAGGGATAATCTTGAGTAACAGCTAAAGCATATCATCAGTAAGTTCGAGAGTATATTCGAGCGTCGACGAGATGAAAGATGTATTCCTGCACTCGCAGAGATGAACCAATATCGTCGGAGCTCTCTAATAAAGAAGAGAGCGTCTGGGTGCGAGGAAGCAGAGGTAAGTCTGCACATATATGATATACCTACGTGGACTTTCATCTTTTGCTCTTTTGGCGAACCCGAGGAATTTCAATAGATACGGTCGGTCGGTAAGCCGAGGCAACACATGGAGGCGAGCAAATTCAGCAGACACCTACTCACACGCGTCTCATTTCTCGCACGTTGCCGATATTGCTCCATTCAATCGTCAATATATATATATACAGGTATATTGGGGTACAGAGCGATTTGGGGAAAAGAGGAGTGCGTGTGGTCAGTCAGAAGCACGTGAAGCGAAATATGCTGATGTCGCCCGAGCGCGGTTCGATGGACGCCACGAGAGTGATTTATCCCGAGCAACGTAAATTTGGCCGCTCCTTTGTCTGCAATCCCTCGTTTCGCGCACTGATTTGCAAAAGATCGCCAGGAAATATGGCACCCTCCTCCCCCCCGGTTTTTCGAGGCATTTATTGCGATTTGACGCAGACGGCGGTGCAACCGGTTCTAATGAGGTGACGTCTTTTTTATTTTGTTTTTAATTAAGGGAGGATTAATTTAGTCGTCTGAGCCACAAGGCTTCTCTTTCCCTGTCAGCCCCGCCCAATGGGGCTCTCTCTTTCTGGTCTAGCAAGAGATTCTCTTTCGTCGGAAAAGTAATAATTCAAAGAGCGTTGGAGAGGCTTCTTGTGCGACTGTATGAGTATTATTCATGTTTTTTTTCGCGAACAAAATACATACTTGCGTACGTTTGGAGAGTAACCAGGTAAGTGCATGGAAGATGTAAGTATAGAAGAAAGAAAGGAAAAATCGCGAGACGAAAGCAGCATCGGTAGTCACGATGGCTGAGCCACGGGAGAGAAGGGGTGTGCGAAAAAAGATGGAGACGTGGGTGTCGATGGATAGGTCGAGGCGAGCTCCTGCGCCAGGGATGTGTAGGTCTGAATTTCGCGGATCTACATACACCTATCTAACGCGCGCGCACCCCCGAGATTTTATTAACTTTTTTTTTTTTCTCCCTTCTTTTGCTTCAGTTGTCTCGCAAATCTTCCTTGCTTCGAGGGCTTGGATTTATGGTTTTACTTTCCCTCGATACACCTGTAAAATGAATGCCTCTCGTTTGCGATAAGCTCGGTAAGTCTGCTTTTTTATCATTATCGTTAGAGTAAGTCAACGATTGTCGCAGTCGCTGCAAGTGTTTTTGAAAAAAAAGATAAAACGTGAAACATTACCACGGTATTGATTGGCGAATAAGCTACGATTACTCGTCAAATTGACCGAAAAATCCGCCAAGCTTACAATGTAATATTTTTTCTTTAGAGAAAGGTTCCCTCGAGTAAGGATGGTGAGTTAAAATCCAAAAAACGAATCGAAAGAAAGCACTCGAAGCAGCGTCGCACGTTCCATGGGCCGCCATTAGAAATCAAGTACCAGAGACGAGAGCGTGGGTTCAGAAAAGGTCATAAAAATTAAACGCAGCGAGACGCGAAAGGGAAGCGAAAAGGAGGAAAAAGTTATTTCAAAAGCTTCTTTCCCCGGACGAGGGTGCCTAACGAGCGCCAGATTCGATCCTATGATATATATCCCCCGCCACTGCAGTCTGTCACTCTCCAATGGCACGTGCATTCTATTTTCCATGCGGTAATAGCTACTGAAAAATCACTGGCTCGTATAATCATGCTTGGAAAAAAATCGAGAGCGACGTATCATTTTTCCACTTTTTCACCACAGGGATTCCCGAATGGTATTTCATCGCTACTTACGCGTGAGCGTACCATAATTATACAACGGGGCGGTCATTGTGCTCCTCCGTAGCGTAAAAGGGTCAACTCAATAAGTGATCATTTTTTTTTTATTTCTGTAAACGAGATACTATCATTTTGAGCTCGAAATATAACAAAATACCAAGTGTCATCCCTTTCCACCTTTGGCATAAAGGTAAACTTTATTCTGACACTGACAGCTGCAGTTCGAACAGTAAACACCAAACAAGTATACCCATATTGTGTAAAGTTTTGTTGGCAAAGAAATACCATTCGACTGGACAAAAGTGACGATACAGTAAAGCTTTTCTTCGCCCGAAGGATCGGTAATGCATTTGCTTGATCAGACGATGGCCGACGAGAGAACGGACAAACAACAGCCATTGAAAACGAGGTGATGACCGCATCAGCAGCAGAAAAAGCAGATCAAACAGAAACGAAAAGAGACGAGCCGCTTTAAAATGCATTAGTTCATTCGGTAAAAGGACCGATTGCTGCGAGCCACTGTTGAGAAAGATTGAACGAACTGGTGCTGAAAATCTGTTACACGGGCGAGCGGTATCGCCCGGTTTGGTCCATTAAACAGAGCGGAGGGCCATCCGTACCATACGGTACTCCCCGGCAAAACTGCCGTTGCACTCGTCACTTTCTCTTTCAATTCTCTTCCACTTCATCCCTCCGCAGCAAAACCCTTGGCGCCACTGAAACTCGATACTTTGCACTGTAAGTAAATGCATTTCCTCTCTTTATTGATTCTACGGTAACGCTTTTTGCGCTCTGAGCTCGACAGATCCAAGTGATTCGTACTTCTTGTTTATTTTTTTGTTCATCATAAGCGTGAATAAAGGACACGGTAAAGAAGGGGCGTCAATCGGTAACAGTACCATGTACTTGTATCGAACGAATTGAAGCATGCCCACACATTTTTGTGTTCATGCATAATGACCAAATGTCATTTTTCGAATACATTGGCAACTGCTGATACCACAACGTGGCATTAAGAAAAGCCTTAATTTTTTTCGTCAGTTACTGTAATAGTCACGTCGAAGCAAGCCACATGTATGCCACCCGTGATAACTTTTATGACGCACAGCATGAGCTTTTAATTTTTTTATAACTTTTTTTTCAGCTAGAATTAGCCTCATGTCCTTTTGGAGCAATGATGGATGGAGCAACTCGAGTCTTCGAGCATACACTGCTAAGGCGAGTTGACTCACCCGAGAGTGACGGAATTTCGTTTGTCTTTTACATGAGGCGGAACGCGTATGTTATCGATCCCTGTGCACGAAGCGAAGAGACAAAGTGCGTATAAAACAATGGGGTGGATTATCCAAGAGGGGCCTCAAAAGTTGGTAAAATCTCGTTAAAAGCCATCAACGCTGAACTGTCCTCTGCACGTGCGTGCAACTTGTTTAAACTCCTACACTGACGTAAATACGCTCGTGACATTGCACACGGAGTTTTTTGTCGTTCAGACCTTTGTGTAAAAAAGTCTCGAAATGACACGCGTCTAGTTTTTGGGCCAACCACTGACGGCTTCGCTTTGATTACGCTTTTTCATCTCTTGTCGTGAAAGTTCATTGGCAGTACCTAGTCGTGGGTATGATAATAAGAAGAAGAAAAAACCACCAGTTCTCATGGCTCGACTTTTCTTTACTTAAAAACATCCAATTGGTTACTTTTCCGTCGTTTACTTGGATTTTTTTGATTCAAAGATACGTTTTGATGAACTTTGACGATGAAGCAAGTTTTTAACCTCTGACTAAGGGACAGATGCACTAGCAAAGGGGCATTTTTTCGTTATAACATGGTAGTCAAAAGCTGACTTAATTACGATATCACAAATTTTTTTATTTTCCCACAAATCTACGTATAGGGTTATTGGTACAGCTATTTGAATCAAGTAATGAAGAGCAAATCCCAAACAAAGATTTTACATACAAAATACTTTTGTACTATTTATGTAGAGAAAAATCCATCTAAATTGCGTACAAAGCTTACGTATAATCTGTTAGAAAATCATGTACATATACTTGTTATTTCTGGTTTTTTAAATGAAGGAAAATCTCGTAATTATCGTACCAGTGTCGTGATAATATAATATAATAACGTAAAAGAGGTAAGGGTACGTGATTTAATCGATTATATTTTATGGTTACACTGAATGTCCTTGTAAAAAAGCCTTTTGCATTGCTTACCGTGAACGTCGAGTTTGATGTCGATTTTGAGTGGTTCATCGAGCGCGATGCTGCTGACCTCGCAAGTGAAGGTGGCGCCGAGCTCGCTGCGCGCCACCGCGAGGTTGAGCGTCCCACTTCCGGTGCCGATGCCGTCCTCCTCCAACTCCGACGAACTAACCGCTGAAAGTTCAAAAAAAATGTGTTTGTTTTTCGTGGTCTCTTTCGCCGAGCATTTATCAGCATTTGTCACACTATGCTATAATTTTTTTCAGGTCTGCAGTCATGACTCAACCACGTTGTATGTACCTATTTAAAAAGAGTGATTTTTCTAAGACAATACCAAGACCAGGACAATAGTTGGCGTATTGTGACAAAAAAATCGGTGGTTAAAAACTCTTTTTTTTTATCAAAGTCAGAATCTTTTGCAAACCTAATAGCGATTCTACTCATTAAATTTGTTGTAACTCAGTTGAAACTCTGAATTTGATGAAAAAAAAAAAAAAAAAAAAAAAAAAACAGACCACAGATAGTAATTATACACCAAAGAAATAAGTAATGATACGAGATGATGGTCGTTGTCTTACATTTGAGCTTGACGTCGCCGTTGTACCAATCGACCGTCGGCACTGGCCTGCCCTTGCCACTCTCGCATCTCAGAGCTATCGTTGAGCCCTCGATAATCGGGCCCAAAACTCGTCCGTCCTCCAGCGTCTGTTGCGCGCTTTCGTCCACGACTCTCACCGAGCTCGGCTGAACTGAAACACGTAGCAATTATTTTTGCTTATTAATACCATTTATATACTACTTTTATTATTGCTGTTACTATTATATTAATTTTTATTAATACTGATATGAAAATCAAATGAAATTTCAAGAAAGGGTAATTTTTGTTCCAGTTTGTGGGAAACAGATCGAAACCAATGTATGTCCCCTTAAACTCTGGTAAAATCACGAGCGTCATTATTTATATACATGTAAGTATGTAATATTGTCCCAAGTGCTGTGACACTTTCATTGATTCTTGGCAGACGAGTACAGGATGGCATCTATGTATTTGAGAAAAAGCATCAGAGAAAATAAGAAGATATAAAGCCGGAGGTGGTAAACAAAAATACCACTTACTAACGCAGTCGGTCACGATGGAAAGACAAATGCCGTGGAGGGCCTTTCTCTCTCTATAGCTGCAGCAAACGAAAAATAAGTTGGAAAAGGAGAGCGGAAAAGCTGAGGGAGAGGTACACGCAAGGCGCATCATGCACGCGCCTTGCCCCCGAGGGAGCTGCAATAGCGATAGCAGTAAGCGTAGTAAGTCGCCGTAGAGGCGCGTCCTACGAATGTAGGTCGAGTTGCTGAATATTAAACTTCCACTCGTTGAATATTAAACGGCCAATCCAGAAGCCGAGTCCGTAGATCGGTTCTGCCGCTCTCCTCCTCCTCCTCCTCCTCCTTTTCCCCACTTTCACACTGCACTCGTGCGAAAGTGACTGTCTCAATTTTCTTACCTAACTTACGGAGCTAGAGCGCGTTTACTCACTCCTCGTCCTCCTACCTCTCTTCTTTGCTACTTCCTGTTTGGATACTCTAAACTTTCCCCCACTTTCTTACTCGCTGTTTGCCTCATCGGCTATTCGTATATATATGTATACATCCACCGATGCGACCTGAGCCTGGATCGTTGGATTTTTTTATTTTTCACCCCCGATCCTGTTAATCCTGTCAGTTAAACATCCAAAGAAACCGTAGAATGGTGTTTTGTTTATTTTATTTTATTTTTTTTCATCCCGTGTTACATGAAACAAATTGTTTTCAATCCGAAGCAACTTGGGGCTCGAATGTCGGAAGAGGTATAACACATACGTCGAGACACGGGCGAGCGTTTGTTATCTTTTCCCATCAGAGATTCACTATGAAAATTGGTATCTCACGCATTTCAAGAAAACATTTACAATATCAACAGCCATGCTGAAGATGAAGTCCGTTATTCTGCATCCAAGACAACATTTTGCGAGCAGCAGCGTCGAAAAGTATTTTTCCATCGAGGCTCCTTGCCCTATGGCAACAACTCTCGGATGAGTTTGACTTGCAAATTGATGATCGACGTTTGTACGTACATGTTTTTTTTTCTTCCCTTTTTCCGAAGAGGAATGGCGGGAGGAGGAAAAAACCGAGTTACGCGGGACGCAATGAGTTTTTTTTATCGACTCGAATCGAGGGCGTACAATGAATGAATAAAAGAGCGCATAGTGGCAGGGCGTGCAGTTTATTACTCACGCGCGAGTGTTGCTAAAAAGTCAATTTTAGATTCGCGCGGTGTGCATCTGCTGCCGTAAAGCAGTGGAAAACTTTTGTAATTTCATTACACGCTGCTGACGACGTTGGCGCCACTAACCCGACACCGTGGCACACGCGCCCACGCCAGATGCCTCGCCTTACCCCTGGTATATATACATACGTCGCTTGTGCACCTTCCCTCTCCCTACCTCTTTTGTTATTAAAGTCACCTTCTACTTTCGGCAATATGTGACTAGACTTTCCGTGGCGATGCCGTCGTCGTCGTCTACACTCTCATCACTCTCTGCTCCTTCCGCTCAAGCTGTTTGAGAATGGAAAGTTTAATATTAGACGTGGGGGGAGTAATACCGATTTTTTAATTATTCCAATGATGAATTTTCTCTGCTTTGACCAAACAATAAAACGAATGACCAATGGCACAATTGTTGTATGGAAAAAGCAAGAAAGATAGTGTACGGTTTGAGCGTGATAAGTTTATCAGTAGTCGGGATCAGCGTTTCGTCAGGCGAGAAAATATTTTTCCTTCGAGTTCAATTTTAGCGGGGCATCGAAACAAAAGAATACCGCAGGCGTTCCGAACGGCAATTTGCGAACAAAGCGGCCGAGTGAAAAATGCATTACCGGGGCAAGAACAGCGCAGTGTCGAAGGCGGGGGATTATTGAATCCCGTCAAACAGATTACGGCCGATGACAGCAGCTTTTCTCGATTCCGAAAATTGGACGGATCGATCCGGCGCTTGCCTATACATACATTCCATATATACCTACTCCCGTGCGCAACAAGGCGATCCCGATGAAAGCCTTTCACCCCCCCCCCTCCCGACCCCAGCCTCTGCTCCTTCTTCTCGTCTTCCATTTCTCTGGAGCTTGGCTCTTTTTTATCCTCTCACCTCTTTCGCTGCCGCCAATGTCTGATTTCGTTCTTCTTTCACTCCTGGCGGGTGTGTGGTGTCTTATACATATACCTACTCTTTCTTCCCTCCTCTGCCATTTCCTCGATCCATTGCCGTCCCTGCATTGGTGGTGCTCGATCAAACATTTTCTCATAATCTGGAAAAATAATTTTCCTCCAACGACGACAACTCCTTCTTGGGCATCGTACCTACTCCGGCACTATGGTGGGTATACATTCCAAGCAACTTCCGGCAAACTCCATCTTTTAGTATACATCTGATTTTTTTTTTTTTTTTTTTTTTAACTCAAATATCGTACAGTATTACGCTACGCATGGCAATATGAATTTTCAGCCGGTGGCAGTCGCAAAGATCAATAAAGAATTTTGCCGGTGCAACAAAATACGAGAGGTCTGTTAGTTGGTTGGTAGCGGTACTTTGGCATTTTATTGACTTCTACGAGAGCTACTTCAAAGTATGATGAGGGGGAAAAAAAAAATTTCCCTACCGATCGCTTCGTGACGTGACCTCCGAGCGGCTTTCTTTCGTATAGCTCTTTGTCTTGCTCACTTTATCATTATCTGTATAATATTACTAGCGAGACATTGCGATAAAAATAGCAAAGTGGAATATGCCAACCAGTAGATATATCACGAAAAAACGCTTCAATTTGATGTAGTTGAATATTTTCATGCCTAAAGAGTTAGCAATGAATAAGTGACGAACTGCTCCCCAAACAAGTTTGCGTACCCGTCGAGGTCTCCGAGAAAATTAACCGTAATGCGATGTTTGCGAATATCCCATGCAAAACGTTAATCTTGGCAGTAAGACGGAAAAAGAGAGAAGGAATTCCGATCGTGCAGCCACGGCAAACTCACATTTACGTCCCGGGGCTGGTTTGCGTTTGTGGGAGGGTGTGCCTCTCGAGGCGGGGGCTGATGCACTTTTAAGCCGGCCAAACTTTTTAGCCGGCCCAACGCGTGGGTTGAGGGTCGGATTACGCGCCGGCCGGAAGATTGAAATACGCGCGTCCACCGCACGATAAGACGATAATTAACACGAGGAGCGCCCGTACTTTTTAATTACATCTGGATTAGAGGCACGAGACCCGCCAACCTACCACTTGTTTTTGACTCGTTATCCGTGATGTTTTTTTTCTTCCCCACGTATATATTATACGTGCCACCAAAACCGCGAAACTAAAAACTCGATGGCGTGTACCTATACGACACGCATCTATTGAAATCGGAGGCTTACGTACGCACCTTCATAAGCAGAAGGTATTATAAGTTTTGATACTGTTGTGTGTGCACGTGTGGATTCTGAATTTTTTTTTTGCATCCATGGATCAAAGACCATAGGCACGAGGGCTAGGCTCAAAGTAATTGGACACTGAATGCATTTTTTTTTTCCACTCGACTATAAAACGGTGAAATGAACTTTACCTACCACCGCTCGGATGAGGGACGAGAAATAACCGATTCCACGATTTCAAAGGGCTCAATTTGCTATGTTGCGTTAAATCAAAGTATCCGCTCGGATAATTTCGGTAAAAAAGCAAGTGGTAGTAATTGAGTAGAGTCGAGTACGTTTTCATCACCCATCTGCGTTTGAAGTGTTTTCCTTTCAACGGCAGTTATCTACATACGCAACAGGAATGTTGGCAAATAGTGTCATTCGAACGATCGTTCACACGCACGCACCAAACCATAAAAAAAAGTAGATTGCATCGCAAAATTGGCTTTTTGCTCCAAGATGCAGGGCAATTGGATTGATTGGACGCGTTTACAAGCACTTTCCGTTGCGTTCCACTTTCTTTTGCCCGTATCAGTGGCTCATGAGATCAAAGCCACCATTCAAGAAAGGAGGGAATATATACAAATAGTTATACGTTGGCCCCGCAACTTTGCATAACGGCGTTTGGGACGCATTATATCCCGTGCAAGAGCCAAGTACACAATATCACGTACGTGGCATGCACTTTTGCAATTGCACAAAGGGGAACAACCATCGTAGTGCTGATGTTACATATATAACTACTTGCCCCCTTGCCCTGGTTTTTCATGCCAACAGCTATTTCTCTACGGGCGTGAGCTTTTCTTCAAACAAACCTAGGGCGGAAAAGTTACCGGAGCTCGGCGCTTTGAGTCGGATGCCCAAGGATTGCCGTCGAGGCGGTCCCGTGCGCGGGTGCGCCTACATTTATCCCTCCCTTCTGTTCCGCCACCTTTTGGTTGCTGGGATACCTGCGGTTTTCTCTCAATCTACTACCATCATTTATTTTTCGTTCCCCTTTTCAGCTTTTTTGTGGAATTGCTCTATAATATCGTGTACACATATTTTCTTTATACTGTATGCGCTATACGGGCTGTACATGGGTAGAAACGCCACACAGTTTCCACGTGATTTCGCACAGTTCCTCCTCCCGTGTACGCGTAAGTGGCACATTTCTCTGATAAGCTTGGGACTTTGATGTACATTTTTATGGAAGCAAGAGAGAAAGCACACCAAAAAGTATCCCTATACATGTGATTCTCGTGATTTATGCGCGACGCGGCTGTTTGCTTCGG